CAGAGCTTTCACAGACTGACTTGTGCCTTGAGAAGATTCATGCTGAGCTATACCATGGAGCCAGTTCTACAGCCTCATGGGCACAGAGACTCTAAGGAAGCCATAGAGTGCTCTCTCTAGCCCAAGGGCATATGCTTCCATTCCTAGACAGACAGCAGGTGTGAGGGTACTGGTTAACCAGAAGCCTCTCCAAGTTTCTCAGTGCATACAACATTGGCAGCCGATGATGTTTCATGGGGACTGTGGCATCCTTCAGCGTGTCACTAAGTCCTGCCAGTTTGGCACCCTGAAGGGACCAAGCCTGAGACCCAGAAGGATGGAATTCTCTTCAGGAATGGAGTGAGATGGCTGAGACCAAAAGAGGGGAAGGCCCCCTGGAACGTAGATATCTGGAAAGTCTTGGGCTAGATACTTACCAACAAAATGATGGGCAAAAGCTACTTTACTGAGGGTCTCTCCAATTTACTTTATGTATATGAGTGTTTGCCCTGCATGTATGTCTGTGCACCATGTGTCTGGTGTCCTCAGAGGCCAAAGAGGGAATCAGATACCCTAGAACTGGAGTTACAAACAGTTGTGAGCCACCATATAGGTGTTAGGAATTGAACCTAGGTCCTCTGGAAGAGCAGCCAGTGCTGCTGAACTATCTCCAACCCCTTCCAGGCTAGCCTGGTCTACAAGAGTTCCAGGACAGGCTCCAAAGCTACAGAGAAACCCTTTCTCAGAAAACAAGAGAAAGGAAGGAAGGAAGGAAGGAAGGAAGGAAGGAAGGAAGGAAGCAGCAACACCCCACCACCCCCAGTTATTAAACTCATTTTGAAAAGGGCTTGTGGAACTTCAGACTTATCCCTGGAAATGTAGTTTGATTTTTCCCCAAAGAGGGATGGTGTGCCCTCCTCAGTGATCCTCAGTGCTCCCCGCCCCATGTATACTGGCACATGGGCAGAGGTTGGAAAACACCAGGTAATGTTTACTAGCTAAGAACTCTGGGGTAGAACACAGCCACACTTTTTTTGTAGACAAGACTAAAGATTATTTCTACCATTACCAGTGGTGTTCTTAATCAAATCAAATGGTAGCCAGAGGAACAAAAGCTGTCACCTTCATTTTTGTTTCTAAAGCTTCTAATGTGTTTATCTGTGTATGTGCATGAGTGTGGGCAACTCCTCATCTCCACTGGTGCTGTTAGAACCTAGTTTTACTAAAACACTTCAAATGGGGGTTTTAAAGGAAGAAATGTGGTGAACAGATGCTCTTTAATTTCAATTTATCTGTGATTTAGAATTCATGTCCAGTGATGAGCTGGTATGTCAGTGTTATGAAAATATGTCTTAGATTCATGTGTCTGTAGCAGCAGTCTGGCTTTTACATTAACTGTGAGATGTCTAGCTTCATATGTTTGTGTGTGGGTGTGGGTGTTTTTCCTGCATTTGTCTATGTACCACATGTGAGCCCAGTGCCTGAGGAGGCCAGAAGAAATCGTCGGGTCCACTGGAACTGGAGTTACAGATAGCAGTGAGCTGCTGTGTGGGTATTCTGGAAGAGAAGCCAGTGCTCTTAACTTCTGAGCCACCTCTCTAGCCTGGCTTTGGATTTGTTGAGCCAAGTTTCTCTGGTTAAATAAACTGTTTTATTAATTTATAATGAAATAGTATTCAAGTGTGACTTTACATGGCCACCTAGAAACAACACCACAGTTACACTGATAAAAGTTAAAAGGCCTGTTTGCTTCACTAGCAGTCAGAAAACTCTAGAGCCAGGTTTTTCACCCAGAATTCTACATAGTCATTGGCCTTTTTATTTTGGTCTTATTAACATAAATACTTGGGACAGTTACAAGCACAGGCATTTACTAGAGTCCTAGGACTCTGAACTTTTGCTTTCAATACCAAATAGTATCTGAAAGACATGCTCACTTTTGTGTTTTCTGAGAAACTCTAGGAACTGGCCCAGGTTCATGTGATAATCATTCCTCAACCCATAGTCACCATGGGCCTCAAGGAGTAATTCTTCAAAAGACTGGAAGAGACGCAGGTCTTCACCGTTCCCCTCTGTCTCCACGCTCTCGGCGTGCTTGCAGGAGATGTGCTTCCAGTTGGGGTATCTAATTGTGTGCCAGAATTCCTCACAGTGATCCTTGAAGCCCTCAACACAGATTATACCAGGCTTTCCTGTCATGCAAAATCCAGTCACATCTAACCTTTTTCCCACTTCCAAAATCTTTTTCCTTAGGTCCTGCTGGTATATGTGGTGGCTGTAGATCCACATTCGGAGGAATGTGTTCTTGACTGGCTTTGCTTGTGTGGATGGCTCATCCGACAGCTTTCTGTTGAGGAAGTATGATGCGCTGTTGTCCTGCAGCCACTGGATTGCTGCACAGACACACAGCTCACCTGGATCAAAAGTCCCTACATAAGCAGTGAGACCTTGGTTGAGAAGAAGCTGCTGTTGTCTGTCAAGCTCAGGGGACCGTCCAAACAGTTGCAAAGCCACGGATGGGTAGCTGTGTGGCATGGTTACTTGCAAATCAATTGTCACCTTAAAATAAAAACCACATGGATTTAAATACCACAAAACCACACGAGCCAGCCTATCATGGCAACTGCACCATTATGATAGGAACAGTCATGGAGACTGTCAGGTGCCAACTACAGACCAAGTTATGCAGCCGTTTTCTTCTAATCACTGCTGAACTACATGTTTCAGGCACCCTGTGCTGGATAAGGAAGTGATAAAGTCAGACACGATTTCTGTCTTAGACTAGAGCCTAGTGAAGGAGACCCACATTAAACAATGACCACACATAGCAAGAATTTAATTTCAATTTGAGAAGAAGTATTTACCATGGGAGAAGTTCAAGGTTCTGCTGAAATGTGTAATCATGAGATTACAGAGAGTACAACTGCTCTGAAGGAATGCCACAACTGAAGGATAGGTAGGTGTGAGCTAAAACATTAGTTCTCAAGTGCCCAGTCCACGTGGTACCTACACTATGCCATGTAATATTCCTGGGGATAAAGGGATCAGAAGATGGAGGTAATTTCATATTTAACATGTAGATTTTGTATTTGTAGTTACCATCCACAGACAGTGTCATCGAAACAAAATCCTACACATTCATTAACTTCAGAGAAGTCCCTTTGTAGCGAGCAGCATTTTGGTTTGTGAAAATCGCAGTGTACATAGAAGGCATAATCTAACAGTTGGGTTAGACAGAACAATGGTAAAACTGCAAGATAGTTTCACTGAAAACAGGCATGTTTGTTAAAAAGGTATGTGTACTTATGTAAAATTCAGTATAGTTATTTAAGAGAACTTACGGAGCATCTCGTGTTTGGTACTTTTTCCTTCCAAACAAGTAATAGGATATGCATTTGGAATTGTCTATTTGTTCACTGGATAGGAAGCTCATGCACAGGGTTTTTCAGTTAAAAAGTGGGCACTTGGGGATGGAGATAGCTCAGCCATCAAGAGAACGGACTGCTCTTCTAGAGGGTCCAAGCTGGGTTCCAAGTACCTACATAGTGTTTTCTGTAACTTGAGTTCTGCCCTCCTCTGGCCTCTGAGGGCACTGCATGCACAAGGTTCACAGACATACATACATGTGCGCAAAACACCCATACACATTAAAAATACACACACACACACACACACACACACACACACACACACACACACACACACACACACACACACGCACACACAATGGGCACCAGAAACAAGGAGAAAAAATAAATAAAAGCACCCACCTTGGGCTCCTCAATTTGGAGCGTGATCACAAATTCGATGTTGTGTGGGAGTGCCTCCCTAGTGCCTTCCAGATACCTCTTTATGTTCGTTAGGGCGTTTACATCTTCAAGTTTTATTTCTCCTTGGTTAGGAAACATAGAAAACAGCATTTCCATCTCCAGCAGCTGAAGCTGAAGGCTTTCTTTAATCGACGCTGACATGTCTCCAAGTCAACCTGCTTGGAAACCTGGAAAGGCCCAGAAAATAACAAAAAACCAAAAAACCAAACAAATAAAAAAACAGTGGGTTTGTTAATGACACCAGGAAATTTTCCCCAGGTCTTTTCTAGGAGGCAATTCCACCGTTTGCAGAGAGCTAGGGGCACACACCCACACACTTAAAACTGTTTAGATTTCTCTCCTGAGCCCCAAGTCTAGTATGCACAACATCCTTTTAAAATGCTCCGTCAACACCTAGATTCCTAGTCTCTCTTCCCCACCCTGGCAGGCCACTCAGGAGTCGGCGCTTTCAACAGGTGATGGGGTGATTTCGTGGCAGGTGGTTGCAAACACCTGTATTCCCGGCCAGCCTCAATCCTGGGAAAAAGCAGGGGCCGGCCCAGGAATCCCATTCGGATCTCAGGCCGTCGCAGAGCTGGAGGCGGCAAGGAGAGATGCCGGCAGAGCGGAAAGGAGGGCTCTGGGTCGTCCCCGCCGCCAGCCACCAGCTTCTCATCTGCAGACCCCTTGGAGCACCGCCTCCCCGGACTGCAGTGGCAGTGCAGCATCTCGCGCAGGTGCATAGGGCCGCCTGGGCCTAGCCTCGGAGCTGGGGGAGGGGGGGTCTCAGCCACTTAATAAAATGACGCCTAGGGTCGGGGGCGCTGAGGACCCACAGGGATGACGCTGCCCTCGCTTTTCAGAGGCTGGGCTGGGAGATGACCTCGGTGGTCAGAGGGACATTAGTGCTCCCGTCCTCTGGGGACCCCAGCCCCACGAGCTCCAGGCACGGAGGCGCAGCTGCCCACCCCGGGTGCTACCCCTCGGCCCGCCTGGGCCGCCGCGGCCTCACCCTTTCAGCTCATTCAAGCCAAGCAGCCCCCGGACCCGCTCCGAACCGCAGCCGCAGTTCTGCGGGTGCGAGCAGCGCGCGGACGGCTGTGGGCGGGGCCAGACCAGCCTACCAGCCGCGATTGGCTAGGGCGAGGGCCGGGAGCAGGGGCTTGGACACCAGATCCTCCCCCACCGCTATTGGCCGGGGGCGGTAGCGGGGGCGGGGCGTCGGGCCGGAAGCCAGGCTGGGCCACGTCTTCAGGGTCTGAGTGAGCTGGTTTGGTGCGCACTGCGCGGTGGCTGTTTGGATGTGGAGGTCGCGTTCCTGCTCCGGAACTAGGTGAGCGGGCGTGGTGGCTGTTGGGCCGCTGTGGGTGGGGGGTTCCTCGGCAGCCATGGCTGGGGATGACCGCCCGATAGACACACCTTCCCACAGCTCAGTGCGGCTCAGGTCCCTACCGACCTCCCGCTGGAGTGCGGGGGAGCCGCGGGTGATCGGGAGTTGGGAGCAGAATGTAATACCGAGGATAGACAGCAGGATGAATGACAGAAGCAGGCTACGCTGTGGGACTTTTAATAAGCATTCCCATACCCACTGAAGTTAGTTCTAGAACTCCAAACGCGTTAGAGGGTGGAAGCGGACTGTTATTTTCCTTTGGGAGAGTCCTAGATTTCATAGGCGTGGTTGACACCCTTATGAATAATCGTGATACATTTCCTACTGGTCAGTTTTTACAAAAATGTGCTCGTCCTTGTGAACAAAAGTTTGATTACTTTGGAGAGAACTAAATTAGCTTGGGAATGACCGACTTTTACAAACTGGACAAAAGCAAACATTTTTCAGCATTTCTTGTGGTGGTGTGCTTTGAAGCAAGGAAGGACAATAAAGCAAGGAGGTGTGGCTGTTAGCTCTCCTCTCTGGGTTACCTAGGATGGAATTGTCCCAGGATGTGCACAGTCTATGACTCTGCATGTACCCTGCTGGCTGAGGCAGAAAACTTCAAATTGAATTAATTAAATATTGGGATTACGACCCTCGATTGATACTGACAGGTCAAAGGCAACATTATGGAAATGTGATTTGTTTTAGAAAAGAATTTAGAAAACTGCTGTGTCTGCCTTTATGAATAAACTGGAAGTCTTCTGTGAGGTCTTAGACAGGAGAAAATGGCTGCACGTTGCTTTTCCTTTGGGACTGTTTCTCTCTAGTTTGGGAGGAATAGTGAATGAGCCACACGGATTTCCCAGATATTTGGAGGCACTCAGCCCTTTGAGGATCTGACCTTCATCCTCAGTCTTTCACTGGCCTCTGGTCAGACTTTATGTTATTAACTGGGTCTGCACCTACGTTGGTCCCTTTGTAAAATAAGATGATCTTTGATCTTCTCGGAGTCTCTGGATATAGATGTGAAGTCTTTATTCTAGGAAAGTTCATCCTGGAGGCCACGTGGAAGAGGAGTGGACAAGCTGGTTTCTGTCCTGACACTGTCCTGGAGTGCACAGTGTAGGCAGGAGCTTCTGGTTAATTCTAACTCTGGGGATTCCTTTTTCTCTTCTTTGCCCCTGCTCCCTACCTCCCCAAACATGGTTCTTTGGAGAGGGTCCCAGTGAAACCAATGCGTTATGTTGAGCTGGCGGTTGGGAAGCAAATGGTCCTTGAAAGCTTTGTCTTCCTATCTCTTATTTTTGCAGACATGGATCTGGAGGCTGTTTCTAAGCGCTCAGCATTCCATGCCAAGCCCCAGGGGCTCATTCTCCAGTATGGGACTGCTGGGTTTCGGACAAATGCCCAACATCTCGATCATATCATGTTTCGAATGGGATTGCTAGCTGTCCTGAGGTCAAAGCAGACAAGATCCACCATTGGAGTCATGGTTACAGCCTCACACAATCCCGAGGTAACAAGTTGGTGTCCTTATTTGCAAGACTAAAAGCTCTAGTGACAGAGCACTTTGAACCAAAGTCCACATTCTAGTGCTGGGAGTGTGCATCTTCCTTTGTATGCTCCATTGGGCTTGAAACAACTTTCTCGTAGTGGCCATGAAGCTAAACTGGGTGTGGGGTGAATGAAATGAGGCTGTTTCTTTGGAGAGTGTCCAGAGTAGAGGAATAACAGAATGTTCTTCCAAGTTTGGATGGAGACATTATCAGTAATGATAGCGTCACAAGGAACTGAAGGGGTGATGCAAGGGAAACACCTTCTGGTGCCTGGCATTGGCGCCAGGGCAGCTGCTCAGCCTTCAGTTGGAGGAATGACAACAGAGGTTCTTCCTCTGGTCACTTCCACTCTGCTTTCCCCTGAAGGTCTGCTTCTCTTTTAGGAAGACAATGGTGTGAAGCTGATTGATCCTTTGGGGGAAATGTTGGCCCCTTCCTGGGAGGAGCACGCCACCTGTCTAGCCAGTGCTGAGGAGCAGGATATGCCTGGAGTGCTCACTGCCATCATGGAGAAAGAGGCCGTGGATCCACAGCAGGCAGCCTTTGTGGTGATTGGTAGAGACACCAGGTAAAGATCAGAGTTGCCTGCTAAAGGGCAAACATCTGCAAAGGATTGTGTCAGTCTTCATGCCCAACGTCAGTGAGAAGGATTAAGGGAGGCCTAGTCTGCCGGACGTTGGTGGTGCATGCCTTTAATCCCAGCACTCGGGAGGCAGAGACAGGCAGATCTCTATGAGTTCGAAGCCAGCCTGGTCTCCAGAGCAAGTGCCAGGATAGGCTCCAATGCTACACAGAGAAACCCTGTCTTGAAAAACCAAAAAAAAGAGAGAGAGGCCTAGTCCACACCCTGATGTCTTTTTGCCTTTTTAAGGGCATGTGGCAACTAAGTCTGGGTTACATAATTTGAGCAGGTTTTGTGGTCTTTGGGAGCTTCCATGTCAGGGCCATTGATAAATCAGCATTTCTGTGAGAGTTAAATGAAATAATATGTACAAAATAGCTGTATCCTTGTGTGTTAAAAGCACTTAATTATTGTGACAGTTTGTAGGTTTATTTCCCCTCTGCAGAGTCAGAGCATTTAATTTTTAACACATCGAATTTACAGATTTGGATTCTAATCTGTTGCTAGGTCAGATGTTCTGTCACCATTCTGGAATTCATTGGAAACAGCATTTTATAGTCTTCGTATTTGTCACGTTCAGCAGCTTTTGCCTTTACAAAAGCCTCCTTTTTTGCAATGTTGGGTTAAAAGTGTACTTTGAAGCAGCAGTCATTTTCTCTTCTATGCAAGTTCTGGCTTCATCTGGGGCTTCTTTCTAAGGACATACCTTCTCTTTCTCTGGATAGCTTGGACTTTGTTTTTACCCTGTGCATTGTTACCAGGGTTTGCAAAAACTATTCACTCATTAGGTCCATAGGCAGCAGAAATAGCTAATTGATTCATGCCCTTAAGTCAGTTATCCCATTGCTGTGTTTGGCTCTTACTTGTAGTTATATAATGATTCGCTTGCTTTTGAGACAGATGAGCAATTTGATCTGATTTTATCAAATGAAAGCTAGGTTCTATGCTCGAAGTAGTTTAAGACCCCATACTCCTATACCACTTATTGATTGTTGCTATTATTAACTAAGACACATATTGCTATAGTTAAGGTATGAGTTAGGGTATCCTTTATATCTTTTAAAATATTCTTATTATTGCTTGTATATGTTCGAGAAGGTTAGGCAGTATCAAATCTTGAGCTGGAGTTACAAGCAGTTGTGAGGTGCCTGTGTTGGGAATTGAACTCGGGTCCTCTGTAAGAACAATATGTACTTTTAAGTACTAAGACATCTCTTCAGCCCTCCTTTATATCCCTCCCCACTTTTTCCTTTTTTCTTTTTTCTTTTTTCTTTTTTTTCTTTTTTTTTTTTTTTTTGCCAGTACAGGGTATCCAACCTAGGGCTTTGTGTATGCTAGGAAAACCCACATGTACTGAGCTATAGTCCTATCCCCGTTTTTAATTCTGATATAGTTGCACCAATTTACCCAGGCTAGCCTTGCACTCCCTCTATGCAGACTTTGAACCTAGTGATCCTCCTGCCTTAGCTTCTCAAGTAGGTGGAAGAATTAGAGGTCTGCATTAGCATACCTGGCTCTTTGTATCTAGTTTGTAAATTTAAAAGCCAGATGTTTTGAAGAAGTCTCCTGTGCAAAGGCTCCTGGGAAAATGCTTGTAATTTACTCCTTTTTCAGGTTCATTGAATGTGTTACTTTGAAATTGTGAGCACACATGCCTCCATTTGCTTTCCCATTTACTCACTCTGCTTTCTTTCTTTCCATTTGCAGGCCCAGTAGTGAGAAACTTTCACAGTCTGTAATAGATGGTGTGACTGTTTTAGGAGGTCAATTTCATGGTATGTAGTTTTAAGTTAATCAAGAAATTGTTTTTTAAATTTAAAAAGTAACACATAATTAAAATTTGCAAATAATAAACCATAAATTTAAGAAATTAATCCCTAGATAAACTTTTAAAATATATCGCAGGTTTTTCTGGGTAGCCATATGAGTTTGTTTACCCATGGGACAGAACATATTAAATCTTTTTCACTTGAGACTCCTTTTGCCTGATAGATTTTCCACAATACCTGGTATACAGGTATCTAAAATCACATGTCTGGTGTTTGCTGATGATAAATCATAAAGAAACTTATTATAAAATAATTCTTACTTATACATATAATCTTACCATTTTTAAAGGATGAAAACAAATTTACATACTAATTAGATGGGTGTGCTTATGTTTTTACACAAAGAGTTCAATGTTGGCTGAATATTTGACACTGTAGGACATGAGCACTGTCAACATTTTCCAGAATTCATGAATATTTTTGTTATATAATTGTCAATGCTGAGAATGCTGCTTGGCCTTAATGCATAGCAGAAATATGTTTAGGCCTGTTTCAGAAATGGTTGCAAATCCTGTGCTGTTTGAGCTGTGCACTCTCTCCCTCAGCTTGCAGCCTCTGATTGTTCACCTGGTCAATCTGTTGTCTGCCATAGGTGGATCTCTCTATATTTGTTCAGGGTGCTGTCTCTATACTCACCTGAATTTGAATTACTGGATCATTTGGGTAAATAGAGATACTGCAATGTTAGGTTAAGCCTCGGAGAGCGTGAGGCTTTTTCGGGGCAGTGTGTATAGTATGGATTGACAATAGTTTTTATTTTTTATCTGTGTGTGTCTGTATGTGCGCATGTGTGTTGGTGCATGTATGTGGGTGTGTGTGGAAGCCAAAAGTCAATGTTGGGTGTCTTCCTTGATTGTTCCCTACCTTATTGCGGTAGGGTCTCCTACTTGAATCCAGAGCTCACTGTTTCAGCAAGTTGCTTCTTTGGGTGTTTGGCTAAGGTCTGTGTGGCCAGTCTTGGCTAGCTAGTGAACCCTCTTCACTTCCTGAGTGCTGTTTTTTTATTTTCCATGAGTGTTTTCTTCAGCCAGTTGACTGGGTATGCTTTAAATTCATTCACGACAGGGAATGGGACTGCAGCGGACCAGGGCTGGTGGTGGGCCAGCATTTGTCTGGGTGCTGGGGGTCTGAATCCGGTGCTTACGTTGTCTACCTGTGCTTTGCTCCCTGGCCACCCTGAGCCCCTTGCTAGGCATTGTTCTAGGAAGGAAGGAAGTTGTTTTTGACCAAAACACAGCTCTCTGCACTGTGACAGTTTTTTCTTTACCTTTCTATTTGCTTGAATGCATTCCTTCTTGGTCTTCTCTCCTGCTTGTTTTCTGTCCCTTTTGATAAGGGCTCTCATGGGGTCCGCTCTTTGATCTATATCATGTCTGAATGGTTGTCTCTCCAGCTACCTTCATATATGCATTCATTCATTCATCAAACATTTTTGGTTATCTGCTCTATGGTGTCTGTTTCACTGCCTGTCACAGTCTGCAGTGAGATACCCACAGTCCATCATGATTGTTTATGTAGATAATGGAGAGGCCCATCTTAGTCAGCAGTGCTTCATACAAGCAGGCATCGTCTGTGCCATTGAACAAATGAGTGGTGAGAATCGTGTTTCAGCAAGTTGATTTCCTGACCAGTGCTGGGCCCGTTCCTGCCCAATGTACGGATTGGGCTGAGTGAGTCTTCCCTTTCAGCCTTGGCCCTGCTTGCATCCACATCGCCCAACCCATCTTTCTATTCCTTAATCTATTCTGTTTCTAAACGCATCACTTCTAGTATGTTAAATACTTTCCTATCTCCATTTCAAGGAAGGCAAATGCAATTCCATTTAGGGAGGGTAGTAAGACTAGGAAGATAAGCAGGGGCCAAATAACTTTAAAAAATGAGGATCTGGATGGTGACCCATATGCAGTGGGGCCCAGTTAAGGGATTTTGTTCACAAGAATAATGTGGCCATTTTCACTTTAAGCCACCACTCACTTAAAGGGAATTAGTGGAAAAGAGATGAGGGAGACTGCTCTGGCGTGTGCAGTGCGCTTTGTGTAGGAGTGATTAAAGACACAGGGCCGTGGAAAATCCTGGAGCTTTTGTTGAATTCAAAGCATTTTGGCATTTGGTTAAGGCTAGAGCTATGAAAAATGGCTTTTAGCTTTCTAGGTTGATCAGTCAGGTGGCAGACAGGGGACAGGAAGATGCTTTTATTTTTTAGTGTGTGTAACAGTTACATAGTGTGTAGGTTAGTCTTTGTCACCTGGGAAGAGGGTAGGAACCTCATTGGAGAATTTCCTCCATCAGATTGGCCTATGTCCATATCTGCAGGGCATTCTTTTCACTGCTAACCAGTAGGAGAGAGGCGCAGCATTTTGTGGCTGCCATTCTAGTGCAGGTAGGCCTGGGCTATGTAAAAATGGTAGTAGAGAAAGCCAAGGGGAGCTATCCTGAGCAAGCAGCATTCCTCAATGGTCTCTGCTTCAGTTCCTGCCTGGAGCTGCTGCCCTGGCTTCCCTCCATGGTAGACCCTTTTCTGTTATAATTTTTAAAAAGCAGCATGAGAGAGAAAGATGCCATGCAACAGACTTCAAGCAGAGGGTTTTTTTTGTTGTTGTTGTTGTTTTTTTCGAGACAGGGTTTCTCTGTGTAGCTTTGGAGCCTATCCTGGCGGTTGCTCTGGAGACCAGGCTGGCCTCGAACTCACAGAGATCGGCCTGCCTCTGCCTCCCGAGTGCTGGAATTAAAAGCGTGCACCACCAACGCCTGGCTAAGCAGAGGGGTTTTTTATTAGGCAAAAAGGGATCTTAAAAAGCGTAAAGTGGAGCAGGGGAGACTGGCCTCTAGGGACAGGAGCAGCTAAGAGAGAGGGAAGAGAGACAGAGAGAGAGACAGACAGAGGTAGGGAGGGATGGGAACAGGTTTTAAAAGGTAACATAGTGAATGGGGTGTGCAAGGGGAGTGTAAGGAGTCTAGGGGTATGCAACAGTCTCAGGATTGGTGCACTTCTGGGTTTGGGTAACCTGTTCTGTGTTGATTGGTCAACTGGTTATTATGGCCTTTAGGCCCTCCAGGGTGGTTGCTATGCTCTGGGAAGTTACTTTGTTTTTGGGAAAGTGGGGCTTACAGATTAGAGTCATTTTTTGTTGTATATTCTCTTAAACCCAGTAATTAAAATTTAAAACAATGTTACCATCACAATACCAGTGGATACTTGTGCATTTGGATGTTTTGAAAGTTTTGTGTTTACATTTTCTGAGATTCTGTTATAAGCCACTAAACTAGACCATGAGTAGAAACAAAGGTTTATTGGTGATCAGACTGCCCAATGCTTTCTCTCCTGGGGTGTGTGTGTTTGGGGGGGGCATGGAGCATAAAGAAGAACAAAATGGCAGAAAGCAAGCAGATTTTATGCCACAGTCATCAGGGTGGGGATCTGAGCTGATACTGACTTGGAACTAGGTGCCTGACACCTAGGTAACTGACCTTTGAGGGAAGGTTAATAGCTGTTCCTGATATACTGTACCTATTTTAGGAGTCCTGCTTTTGTGGTAAACAGAAACCCACCTCTAGGCTTGTTTACATGATAAACAGTCTCCACACCTTTAATTCCAGTACTCAGGAGGTAGAGGCTGATAGATCTGTGTGAGTTCAAGGCCAGCCTGGTCTACCAAGTGAGTTCTGTGACAGGCAGTGCTGTTACACAGAGAAACCCTGTCTCGAAAAACCAAAACCAACCAACCAACCAGTCTTTCTGTTTATCAGGTTGGAGTCCTTCTGTTTAAGACAGTGTCACCAGCACTGTTATCTTTTGGGGAAGCAGAGTGGGGGTTTGGATCTAATGTTTTTATGTTATGAATTCATATGAGCTTCTTTTGTTAATTGTGATCTGACCTGCCCTTTGTGTCTGTTTGGCAGATTATGGCCTGTTGACCACACCTCAGCTGCACTACATGGTGTATTGTCGGAATTCTGGGGGCCGGTACGGAAAGGCAACCATAGAAGGCTACTGCCAGAAACTCTCCAAGGCTTTTGTAGAACTTACCAAACAGGTGAGACCTTTTTCCATCCTGATTGGAATTTCAGCAGGGAATAAAGTAATGCAGTCAATCAGCAACCCAACTTACATGGCTCGCCACTTGTCCTCCTCCTTTCCTCCAAATGTGACTCATCTCCAGTTTCTCTCTTTCAGAGCTCAGGCTCTGGTGTGTGTGCTTATGAGTGTATAATGGCAAGGTGCATCCTGGGAAAACTCATGGTATCTTTGCTTGTGGTTATCAGAATTCACTGAGATGAACTTGATTATAACATAGATGCTATGTTATAGCTTGGGAAGTACTGTAGGAAGGAATTTCTTTTTGGTAGACTCCATGGTTAACCCTGGAGATAATGTGCAGGATGTGACTCACTGGATAGCACTTGTCCTCATAGAACTCAGGTTTTGGTGTGGGGACTGGTCAAAGACTGATAAGTATAAAACAAACAAAAAATCCCCAAGCCCCAAATATGCTCGTGATATTCTATGCCTTGTAGAGAATGCTAGTGTTACCCAGACACCTGCGTGCTCATCCACACATTGAAGTGGCTGCTAGGAAGGGAAGACTGATGTTTTAACTGGTCAGTCATGCTGTGTTGAGGCTCAGTTCTAATGCCTTTCTGTAAGTTGTTCATCCCATGGCATCACTGCTGTGTTGCTCAGGGTTTCTTTGATGTTTTGTAGTTCATCTGATTGTATGTGCATATATATTCTGGGTTAAGTTAGGCGTGTAAGTGGAAATAACAGAAGACCTTTTCACGTATTCATACACGCATGTGTGCTTGGTGATTCACTTTGGTGACTTGATGTTTTCCTTCCATGTCTTTTTCTTTTGAAGGCTTCCTGCAGTGGAGATGAAAACAGATCAGTTAAAGTCGACTGTGCAAATGGCATAGGAGCCTTGAAGCTGAAGGAAATGAAACACTATTTCTCCCAGGGACTGTCGGTTCAACTGTTTAATGATGGCACTGACGGGAGGCTCAATCACCTGTGCGGTGCTGACTTTGTGAAAAGTCATCAGAAACCCCCACAGGGTATGTGCCAGTGGCAGTGTCTACACCTGATCCTAGCTCTCTTTGGAGCTGGCTCACTTAAAAGTCAAGCTGTCTCTGAGTGAAGAATCACACTACTTGTGCTGGCTCTGTCACCTTTGGGTCCTTAGAACTCTTCCCACTCATAAGTGCCATTCAAAACACATCAGCTCCTGCTGAAAGCTCAGACAGAAAACATCACTTTAGAGTGAGTGACAGCTCTCAAAGTTAAGAGATCCTTTCAGAATCGAAGCACCATGTCAGCACACAGGTGGCCTCACTCCCTTTCTCATTTAGTCTGTCCCAGGGTGGGATGCACTCAGGAGGGGGAATTCTTATCCCTATTAGGTTGCCAGGGATCCAAAGGCAGCAACTGTAAGTAGCTTTGTGTTCATGCTGTCTGCACTAGACTGGCTGGAAGGGGAATGGAAGACTGTCTTTAAATCATCAGTGGACTCCGTGTTTCCCACACAGGAAGATTTGGAAGAATTCTGTTCAGGTGTTAGTTGTAGTAAAGAGGTATTCCAGATGCTCTTTTTCAGACCCTAGGATGCTCTCTGCTAACCTTGCCTGGCTAGCAGATGTATTGTTTGGGCTGCTGGGTGTTTGCCTGTGCTAGGTTGCAATTTTAGTTCACTGTTGAATAATTCTGATTTCTCTACCAAAATCCATCAAACCTCCATTGCCTCATGATGCAAATCAGTTGCCACCATGCCACAGCTGTCTTGCTTTTGCCTCACTTGTGTGGCCTGTTCTGCCTTACTTTAGTAAGCATTTAGAATCTGAATTTATATAATCTTTTCATGGTAGTGCTTGCTTTGATATTACTTACCTGTCCTTCATCTGTCTGATTGTTGAGGTCTCCCTCCATTGCTGTGGCTGCCTCTGTGTACTGGAGACTCAGTCCCTCACACCCCCCACCCCCACCCCCAGGCTGTTTTTCTGACTTGCAGGAAAACAGTCTCACTTTGTCTGCTGCCTTCATTGCTAAGGGACAGCAAGGTTTTCTAGTAAGTCTGATGTAACAGTTGCTGAAGTGTCAGTGAGCTCTTTTTTTTTTTGGAAGTTATAGTTCTGTGCTCCTAATTCCATTTCTTGTTACTGTTAGTATAAGTAGATAAAATACTTATACCTTATCTATTGCTGATTTTTATTTTTAATATGTAAAGGGCAGCATGATACTTTTAGAAATCTTACATTTAGAAATGTCCAGTTTCAAAAATTATATGGGAAACTTGTCTAGCCAAACCAACTGGTTAATAAAATTTTATTTTAGTGTAATAGCACATTTTAGCATGAATATATTTGAAGACCTCCCTCCCTCCCTCCCTGCCTTGCAAGAATTTAGCCTGCAGGAAAAGTACCAGTACCAGGGAGTGTGGTCCACACCTTTAATCCCAGCACTCAGAGGCAGAGGCACAAGACTCTTAAATTGGAGGCCAGCCTGGACTACATAATGATGTCCTGTCTTCAAAAAGAACACCAGTAGACTAACTGGACACTAACATTGAAAATTGTAGACTTTGGATTGTATCGAAAACAAAAAATTTTTTTTCTGAGACAAGGTTTCCCTGTGTAACAGTCCTGGCTGTCCTGGAACTGGTTCTGTAGACCAGTTCTTGAACTGGCCTTGAACTCACAGAGATCCGCCTACCTCTGCCTCCCTAGCACTGAGATTAAAGGTGTGCACCATCACCACCACTGAGCTGGAGAGAATCTTTAAAAACATCTCTTGAAAAATTTGTAGTGGATGTGCTGTACTGTAGCATATAATGCTAATTTTGATCTTTATAGTGAAAAAATAATTACGTGTGACAGGGAAAAATCTAACATTTTATATAGTGAGTTTTATTTCCATTTCTTAGTCTGAAGTGCACTTTAAATCCTCCTGTGTCCTAGGGATAGAAATGAAGTCTGACGAAAGATGCTGCTCCTTTGATGGGGATGCAGACAGGATTGTGTATTACTACAGTGATGCAGACGGTCACTTTCATCTCATAGATGGAGATAAGATAGCCACATTAATTAGCAGTTTCCTTAAAGAGCTCCTGTTGGAGGTAAGGTGGGGGTTGGGGAGATATCCAGACTTGCTAGTGAGCACTTCCACATCAGTCTCTTGAGTGTCTCAGCACCAATGTGGATGGGGCGTGGGGGTGTCCCTGATATTCCTGGCTGGGAAACAAAAATAAGTGGAAATTGCAGCCATCTCAGCACAGGAGTATTGGTTTTAGTTGCAGTGAGGATGGTTTTAGATGACTGTATGCATGCTCCTTTTCTTGATACTGGCTTGGCTTTCTCATGCAGCTTTGTGAAGTTTTGGTTTCTTTTAAACTGATGTTGCATGCATTACTGAGAATTCCATCATTAATGTAAAGCATACAATTCTAAGAACAAATAATAACCAAGATAATTATTACTGTCATTTTAAGTTTAGTAATTGATCCCCCCCCCTTTTTGGGAAAATCCCTGAATCAATTATATAGTTGGGAATTATAATATGGGAAAGGTTTATTAATAATTTATAGGGATCACACACTATCTTAAAAGAGGGTTCAGTAGAAAACTATGTTTGTAAGTATTTTAGGCTTTTTTCCTGGTAGTGTATGCTTTCTTTTAGAATGCCATTTATTGCCTAAACCAAGCCAGGGTGGAACTGGCTGATTCTGCTGCCTTGACAACTCTCACTGTGTCAAAGGCTCTCGTGCATTTGATAGCTAGTTAAGTGTGCCATTGTTTCCTTCTAGATTGGAGAAAGTCTGAATATTGGTGTCGTACAGACTGCATATGCTAATGGAAGTTCCACAAGATACCTTGAAGACGTTATGAAGGTATCATGTTGTCTTCAGTTTTGGGTCTTTTTTTTTTTAAGATTTATTTATTTATTATGAATTATTATGTGTACAGTTGTTCTGTCTGCATGTTGCCTGTAGGCCAGAGGAGGGCACCAGATCTCATTACAGATGGTTGTGAGCCACCATGTGGTTGCTGGGAATTGAACTCAGGACCTTTGGAAGAACAAGCAGTGAGTGCTCTTAACCACCGAGCCATCTCTCCAGCCCAGTTTTGAGTCTTTTCTGAATCTCGTGGTAAGAATTCTATGAGGAAATTTATGTTACCACAGAGCGAGCAGTGCAGAAAGCTGAGCCACTATCCAGATGATGGTGACTAGGCTCAAAAGGATCACATGTCTCTGGTGCAAAAAGTCGGGAGACTTTCGCCTTGGAGCATATCAAAACCTGTGAATTCTGTGATCTTATGGATACAAATCTTTTTAAAGGCTAATTGAGCTGCATTTATAATCATGAGTGTTTATGGGACTGAAGATGCCTCTTTCAAACACAAAGATTAAGGTAATATTGAACCTGTATCTTTTCATTACTATGATCAAAGACCTGGAAAGCAGCTTAGGCAAGGAAGGGCTTATTGTGCCTCAGTGAGAAGGCATACAGCCCACCATGGGAAAGGTGTGGCAGGAGGTATAGCTCATGGACACATTAGGTCACTCAGGAAGGAAGGATAGAAAAGTAGGTCCCCTAGTGACCGACTTCCTGCAGCTAGCCCCCACCACCTCAAGGCTCACTTGAGATATGGCCAAGGATGGTATCTGGTTGCACTTGGATAAGCCTGGCATTAGGAAACGAGAGAATCTTTACCAGTAATCATCTGTGTTTGGAGTATGTATGAAATGGAATGCATTTGCTTGGCTCTTGGGGTGCTTTCCTTAGCACCTACCTGTGATGTATTCCTCAAGATCGGGCTTTATGGCATTTGTTTAATTGTCTTTCCACTGTCTGCCAGAGAACCAGAGTCTTCACACTCCCTGCTCAGAGTCTGGGGTTTATGGACAAAATTGGAAGCTGTTTGCTTTTCTCCAAATTCCTGCAGGCTCTGGGCAGATAAGTGAGTCAGCACAGCAGGTGAAAAGGGACCAAGGAGTATGTATGCTTGAACCAGCTGTTAACTTTGGTCAATCTTCTAGAGAAATATAAATGAAGTTTCATGTGAATTTCCTGCTTCTTAAGAGAATAGTAGATGGTCAAAACAAAACATCATGGAGGCTGTTTGTTTTTCCTACTTTATGTTTACAGTGGCTTCACTCCAGGGCCTTTCATGGGCTTAGTGCTTGACCCAGGACACATTCTGAGAAATGCAGTAGTGTGACATGAGTTGATGTCATTGTTAACAATGAGTGTATTCAGCTATGATGGCCATGGCATCCATAGGAGACTTGATCTTCTGGTGCCACTACAGCATCCATTGTCTGTTCTTGACCTGAATGTCACAGTGCATGAGTGTTTCATTTGAAAATCTCATCTATATATACTAGTATGTTTAGAAACTTATACACAGCAGAAACTGTTAACTTCCCAACCCTTTTTCCTTTTGGAGTAAGTATTTTTGGTCCTTGACATCCTATGATTTTTCAAGTCCAACAAATCTTGGTGGATGTCTCTCTAATAGTTATGTTTCTGTCAGTTTCTCCTAAATCTGTCAGAGCCACCATTGATAGCCTATTCACTGCTGCTGGGTCAGTCAGGGTTATTTATCCATGATTAGTCTTGAAAGTTTAGCTGGCTTTTTTTGTTATTGTTATTTTATTTTTCAAAACAGAGTTTCTCTTTGTAGCCTTGGCTGTTCTAGAACTCACTCTATAGAACAGGCTGTTCTCTATCTCCTGATTGCTAGAATTAAAGGTGTGTTCTACCACACTCATCCTTAACTGGCCCTTCTTAACTTTCTAAGCTAATAGTTAGCAAGAAATAGTCTGGGGACCCAATTATAAGTTATAAGAGTTCCCTTGGAATAGCCTTCTGTACATTTGTTTAGATGAGGTCCATGGCTAACTCCACATACCACAGAATGATTGTGGGAAACCATATAGCCTTCATGGTGTATGCTATTTACCTACAAAGAAGGATTGGTCCTTCATTGAATAAGCATCCAGACCTCTTTGTCCTCCATTCTCCATACTACAGTTCAGGCAATCTTCTGAAAACAGACAATGCCACCTACCTGCAGTCAGTCCCTGTGTGGGTGTTGTAAGCCTTTATTGTCTTTAGCACCAGAGTGAGGTTTCATATTTATTCCATGTTTTATTTCTGGAATAATAGATATATAATTAACTGACTTTATATTGACGATTGTTGTCTTTCTTTAATGTGTTGTAGGTACCTGTTTATTGCACCAAAACTGGTGTCAAACATTTGCATCACAAGGCTCAAGAGTTTGACATTGGAGTTTATTTTGAAGCAAATGGGCATGGCACAGTAAGTTGCCTTAAAGATGTCAACTGGCCTTAGCTAGGATTTTTCTTAATAGTGGGTTTCTATTGAAGTTTGTTAAAATGACTAGGTAGTAGATTACATGATCAATGTATACTTTTAGATACTATAAAATGTCTTTTTTAAAGACTGTAATGATCCTCTGTGAACAAGTGTACCATTTTGTTCTTTAAAAAGGCTGGGGAGAGCTCAGTTGAGTAACTAGGCATGAGGTCAGTGCTGCAGAGGTAGCGACAGGCATTCGAATTCCTGGGGACCACTGACCAACCTAGCCTAATCTGAGCCCTTGTAATGCAAGACCCTGTCTCAACAAACAAGGTGGGCAGCATGTGAGGAAAATCGGAGGGGTCAATCCTGGCCTCAACGTGAATGCAGACACAGACACACACACACACAGAGGGAGATGGAGAGGGAGAAGGAGAGGGAGACCAAAAAAAATCCCAGTAAATCATTTTAAAATGTACTGTTCATTTTCTTAAACTATTCCCACTTCTTAGGGAGAGCAGGTTAGTAGCTATGATGAAAAGCTTTATGGGTTTACAGTATATGCAAGCATAGGTTTTTGTTGTTGTTTCATGGATTTCTTAAAAGGAATATTCTGAAAAAAGTCATACGTAATTCATCATAAAAGTCACTATTTTAAAGGGTATAACTTTTTAAGTTCAGATTTTATTTAGAAATGTCTTTGTACATCACCTCATTTCATGAATGGATTTGAGATAGATATCAGAATATTTGAATGTAGTGTAAATCATTCTCTTTACTAATTTCAGTTTGGCTTTTAGAAGAGCCATGAATGTAAGGAAGAGAATATGTTTCTACAAAATGCAACTAAAATATAACTTCAGTGATCTAATGCAAGCATTGGAATACAGGTCTCTGTTGAACTGCTCAACTTTACTCAGAAAAAATGGATATGCCTGTGTAGTAAAAATTTATTTACAAGAACCAGGTGACTACCCTGTATCTTATTTTACCAAGAAATGCCCATTTCCTCAAGTGATGGGGTACTGTGTGCTAACCTCAATCCTGGCCCCTCTCGGGCTCTAAAGGATGGGTATGGCATTTCAAAACAAAGAATGTGTATGCTAGGAAGTATCTGACACAGTCTGCCATATTGGTGAATGCAGTGAATTCCTTCCCATGTTGCCAGTCACATATCCTTTAAAGGTACCTGCTGCACAGAGTTCAAGAAGTGGGCTGGAGAACACAGTGAGCTCAAGTATTCAGTTTTTGTCAAAGTGGTAACTTTTTAATTAGTTTTATAATCCATAAACTTTTTCCTTAGTAGTACCTGTTGTGCTCTGATTTGATCTTAACATTAGTGGCAGACAGACATCAGGCTGCCATTATTTTTCTCTTCAGTCTCTCCAGATTCACTAAGAATGACAGGTGACCTGGAGTTTGTGACTGACTTCATATGCTTCCGCTGCAGGCACTATTCAGTGAAGCAGTTGAAGTGAAGATAAAAAGACTAGCACAAGAACTAGAAGACGAGAAAGGAAAAGCTGCCAAGATGCTTGCAAGCATCATTGACTTGTTCAACCAGGTGAGAACTGGTGAGGGGCCAAGCTCTGAGTTACCCTAACATCAGTCAAATCATGGAACAAACAATTAATAAAAAGTGGAGAAGTCCTGGCTGGGTGGTTATCTAAGAGATCTAGTTAAAGAATTTGAGTGGGGAAAGGCTTGGCCCTGACATCCTAAGTCTAGATGTTTCTCATGAGTTGGTTTAGTCAGCTTTGGAGACATGTCATTGTCATCTTTCACGGTTATGTGCATCTCCTTTGTATTCATGTTATTTATTCACGTTCTTGTTCATGATGCATGGGCAGGGCAGCTTGATTTTCCAAGTGGACAGCATTCATGTGAGATTTATGGAAGGTTGCTTAGATGCTTTGTTTCCCCAATCTTGCAGGCGGCTGGAGATGCTATTTCTGATATGCTGGTGATTGAGGCCATCCTGGCTCTGAAGGGACTGACTGTGCAGCAGTGGGATGCTATTTATGTTGATCTTCCTAACAGACAACTCAAAGTTAAGGTGAAGAGAGTGTGAAATAACCTTTCAGATCATAGCTGCTCTTCCAGTCGTTCTATGCACAGTGTTTCCTGAGTGCGTTCTATTTCAGTCTGTATGTACACTCTACTTAGAAAGGCCTTATAACAACAACTGCTTTACTCACCCTTTAAAAAATAACTTATCTTGTACTTCCATTTCTATGATAAAGAATTATCAAACGTGTGTGAGTATGCATTATTTAAAAGTTTCTGCTTTTCTGCACATTTTTTACAGCCCAGCCCATACTATTTTGAAGTAAACCCAGATCAATAATTTTATCATTTTAATGGAAAATGTTGCTTCAGAATTAACTTTCAGTTCAGACAGTACTTAAATTTGTTCATTCTGAGACTAAACCTCACAGTTTTTACTCACCTGGCTAAGTCCCCTGACGACAGGCCTGCACCCCCAGCACTTCTTGGAGCTAGATGTAAGCAGTAGAATCTGTGGACTCAAAGGGAGAGGATTTTCTAAAGGCATTTCACATGAGCGGGTATTTGATTTGTATTAATCTACACATTCTCCACGAGAATTTGCTGAAAGATTATTAGGTATATCAAAGCCAGAGTTCACAGAAATGCCTACCAAGTATCTGGATTTGCTTTTGGCATATTTCAAGACTCTTACCTCAACTCTCTTATATAATAGCTTGCCACTTGTTATAAGCCACATAAATTTGATCAGTAACTACTGGGGTCAGATAATAGTTATTCACCATTATTTTGTTTTGGTTTTTCAAGACAGGGTTTCTCTGTGTAGCTTTGTAGACCAGGCTGGCCTCAAATTCACAGGGATCCACCTGCCTCTGACTCCCAAGTGCTGGGACTAAAGTCCTGTGCCACCACTGCCCAGATTTGACTATTATTTTATTAGCTTTGTGGAAATGTTGTGTTTGGCTAAAGGTAAATTTTCATATTGAAGAATTTTTCTTCATTAGTTGTATAAATGCTTAAAATGCTACATGGCTTTAGCCTGTCTGTCACTCTGTGGGCAGGACTATTTTGAACAGTTTTAAATGTCTAACCTCATAACAGGAAGTGTTTGTGCTCAGGTTGCAGACAGGAGAGTTATTAGCACCACTGATGCTGAAAGACAAGCACTCACTCCACCAGGACTCCAAGAAGCAATCAATGACCTGGTGAAGAAGTATAAGCTTGCCCGAGCTTTTGTCCGACCCTCTGGTACTGAAGACATTGTCCGAGTATATGCAGAAGCAGACTCACAAGTAAGTTGGGAACAGGGGAGGGAAAAAAATCACATTTTAGCTGTGTTTGGAATTTCACTGTGGCAAAGGGTTTTTTGTTGAGAGTAAGGTTGAATGCACTGGGAGGTATACAGTTAAACAGTTTCACACGCCCTTTCATTTGTTATCAGTTCTTTTTTGTGGATTCTTGAGGGTGTGATGCTCTGGCTGTGCAGGAGTATCTAATAAATCCTTCCTTTGACACATGAATGTATTATAGATTATTATTTTCCCTTTAAAAATGTAGTCCTATGAGTTTGTTTGTGGAAGCAGCCAGTTTTAGTATTTCCATAGCAGCTGTTAATGCTTGGTTTTCTTTCTGGACTTTTGAATTACTTTTCAAATTTTTCTTACTCTACCTGTATTTTCTGCAATTTTATCATTTGTCCTTTATACATACTGTGGTTGAATACGACTCCGGAAACATAAACAGTTATTTACATGACAATGGGTATCTGATGGAAATCCTAAGAATTACTTATTCTTAGCAGTTGTAGCCTTCTGGATTTTAAAGGGGCTTGGTTACTTACTCAATTTAGGGAAATTTTTATTTAAGCCCAATTCACTTTCTATTTATTTATGGGCTTTGAATAGTTATGAATCAGAATTGGGAAGCATCTCCCCCTAGCTAGAATAGACGACGGATGGATGGCAGGTGCTGTGTCTCTCACCTAATCTCTGCTTGTGATTTACAGGAAAGTGCAGATAGGCTTGCATATGAAGTGAGTTTGGTGGTGTTTCAGCTGGCTGGAGGCATTGGAGAAAAGCCACCACCATCTTTCTGAAGATAACTTTGATATTCTTGAAAAATGGATTTCTAAAATGTTTTTTATAAAACTATTGACAATACTGGCAGAACTAAGGTATTTGTAATCATAACATTACAAATGCACTCTAATGGATTTAGATCTGTATTTTTAAAACACTACCAGAAAAAACTGTTTAGAAGCTGGTAAATCTTAGACTTGGTAATGATGCTCGCCTCTGATTTTAATCTGTGTTAAGTTTTAATGGTTTGAGTGTAATTAATTTTACAGTGTATGCAGGGTGTTGGGAAATTAAATTTTATTACTAACTTCTTGCAATGGCTTTGTGATTACTTACCTAAACCAAGATGTTTTGCAGCATTGGGCTACCTGATTCAGATGGGAGAGTGGAGACTTTCTATAAACCAATTTTCCATGGGCAGACCTTAAAGTAAGAAATGACTGACTTGTTTGTTTGTGTAGCAGCATCAGAACTGGCAGGTGGCCCATCTTTCTTTGCACTGACAGAGTCCTGTGCTGTACCCACTAGGATGTGTGGTCCAGGCCTTAGCTACTCTTTGAGTACTCAGGGAATGGATGTGGAGGGACATCTCCATCTAATATATGAAGTCTCAGACAGCAAAGTGGCCATTCTGATACTAGGATTTTTAACCACAGAAAGAAGAAAGAAAAAAAAAAAAGGGAAAAAAAATTAAATGAGGCTTGAAACAAGCAGAAAAGAAAAAAACATGGTGTATATTTGGTAGGTTTAAGACAACCTACAACAGTGAAACAATGGGCTATATATGCATATATAGACCTCGTAGGCACCATCATCAGTATGAGCCAACTATATTTAAACTTGATTCAGGCCACGTTCAGACATAAGCTCTTATTTACAAATATTTAAATTAAATACAACCTGAAGAGTGTTTTGTTACATACATATATATAAAAGAAAAAGAAACTATACAACTCAGAGCAGTGTGTTTGAAATAATTACATTTCCAGTGAGGCTCTGGGGAAGCACTGGTGGTGGTCAAGTTTTTATGACTCCTTCCAGAAAATCCTTCTCTATCATCTCTTCAATTTTTTGCCTGGCTTTGCTGGAGAATGCTTTGTGGTTCTCCAGTTTCATGTCTTTGTTTGGGAAGGAGTTTGAGTAGAGGACAGGGCTCCCTGAGTGGCCTCCGCACCGGCTTGTGACTTTGCTGTTGAAGACTTGGCTGAGGATGTTGAAGAAGGGCAGAAGCTGCTCCATGCTTCGCATTGTGCAGAGGGTGAGTAACAAGTGCCCCGGCTCCCAGCCCAGTGTCCTCCCCGAACTGTCTTCCTCTGGATTCTTCTGCAGAAACAAAAGGGGAGCTGTTACTAACAGGTGAAGTCTCTCATGTGAGAAATGGATACAAATGCCAACATCAAGTCTATGTTCCAGACGATGAAAATCACTGCTGCTGAGGCCTTTTATTACCATTTAACTCTTTGTAGTAGTTTTCAACTAGATTGCAGAGGTGACTTTAGTTTAAATGATCTGTGACAAAAATAAGTCATATAAAAGATGAGGATTTCCAGACTCAGAGCTTTTCATACACTTTATTTTATTGATGATACATTAACTTATTGCCTAAATTTGACCCTGGTTATAGGGTTCAAGAGTGAATAATTACTGTCAATACACAGGAGAAATGAGGGGTTGGGCTAGACACAGGAGGGAAGCTGGACCTTGAGTGACATGCCCCAGGCTAGTCCAGTTCTGCTTTTTAGTTAGTGTGCTGCATCTGTGCAAGACACACAGTTCTTGCTGATGACAGGGTAAACTTTTCTTTTTCAGCCAGGAAGTCAAATGATAATGTATGTCAAAACCGTCCACTATTTAATACCAACGCCAATAATTACTGTCTAGTAAGATATAGAGCTACTTTAAGATGGATGTGGCAACACAAGCTTAGAATCCTAGTAACTTGGGAGGACTCTGAGTTCAAGATACAAGATCCTGTCTCAAAAACTGTGAGAAACTGGATTCTTAGCTGCTCCATGAACTCAACTAAGTGACAACAGCTGTGAGTAATCTCCCACAGAAAGGGCTGAGTGAACTGAAGGTGTTATCACTTGCAAAATTACACACTACAGCACAAGGAGAAAAAAATGAAAGTAGGAAAACAGGAAGGACAACTAAGCGTGTCATTTACAAATGGTGTTCTCTCTTCTAAGTTTGGATGTTACTAAGAAATTGATTTTATCTGGTATTTTATTATTAGTTTCCTAATGTGATCCCAAGGTTGGTTATTTATTATGTTAGGGATAAAACTTGGGCCTTGTGGATGTTAAAAGCATTTTACCACTGAGCTACCCCATCAGTCCTATTTGCTTTAAAATCTAAGGGAAAACAGATACATTACAGTAAAAAATGCCATGTGTAAGCAAGAAAAGACTTAAAAATGGGAAATAGCTGTCATCTAGTTTATTAGCAATGATTTAGCCTCCAATCTAGATTAAAGGATAAACAGGGACTTTCATATCATTAAATGCCATCAAACAGTTCCTAGCGCCCCCCTCCCCCCAAATCAAACTGTAATTAAATGTTAAGCAAAGGGTGGATGAAGATAAATTTATCCTGAAGGGAAGTAAATGCTGCTTATACCTTCGATAGCTTATTTTGAAATATAAGAGAATCATGGTATTATTTTTCATATTTCTATGGAGATTTTTCATGAAAGAGGGATCCCCTGCCTTGGCCTTGAGCTCTTAGCCAAGAAAAGCACATGTGTTTCAGTGTTGTTGTTTTTTTGTTTGTTTGTTTTGTTTTTTTTCCTGTCCTCATGCACCCATCCTAAATAACCAAACATCTCCAGACAAACACTTTCTCCTTTGACTGCACAAGTCTATAAATGGAGTGCAGCTTCCTTCCTGTTTACCTCTCTTGTAGCTTTTGCTGCCATATTACAAGCACCAATAGCCACCCTCACCTGATGCTTGGCCATCTCCATTCCCTCCAAAATCTTAAAGTCCTCCTCGTCCTGTGGAAGGAAAGAGAACTCATAGCCTTTGTTCCAGTGAAAAGTCTGCTTGGCCATGAAGGCCTTGTTTAAAGAATCTGGATGGGAAGACACTTCCAGTGCAAGCAGCTGTCTATCTGTGGGTTAGTTTCTAGGCAAAGGGCTTGGGCCTAGAGACCCATGAATGTTCACTGCATCTGGATTCATGATTTCCCCCCAACATTCTGTGACAGAAAAGTGAAAGTTCTGTTCTGGATCAGGCTTTGGTCCACAACTTTGTCCTTTCACTTGGCTCCTAAAGAAGCAAGTTCCTCATATCCTGTAAGTAAAGCTTCTAATCACTTTCTTCCCTTTTGCTCTGTAGAGAATCAAATACAGCTTCATTGCTGTAAGACAAAATGCGTGAGCACATGCGGACTGGTCTCAGAGTCGACCTGATCAACCTCCTGAACTAAAGAGATGATGGATGTGATTAACAAAGGCCCAGTGAAGAACAAGCCATTTCCTTACCATTCCACTCAGGGCAGAGATTGGCAGGTTACCCTGATGTTTAGTTTGAAAAGACGCAGGGCACACTCTAAACCACAGCATTTACCTTCCTACCCCTTATGGGATGGGTTCCTGGGAATTCTCATTTTCTCCTTGATTTCCACCACATAATATAGTTTTTTAAAACATTTGTATTTTTGAGTCTCTTTACTACCTTTCGAATAGTCACATTTTAGTAGACTTAATTCTTAACGGTGTTTTTAAAACTGCAGGGAGTGTTAGTAGTGGAGGGGATATACAAAATTTGAGACATGGTATAACAAGAGCTATAGAAAGAGGAAATATTGTAAGTACTGTTTTGAAAAAAATCTTTTGATTGAGTAAGAGTGGTGCTACCTCAAATCATCAGATGTATCTCTAGGTTATAATTTAGGAAAGTGAAAAAGATTCCGCTTAGTCATATTTTAGCCATGTACTTTATGTTGCATAGAAAAAGAATGACTCTTTATTATCACTAAAGTCTATCTGGATAATTCAGTTTTGGTGAGGTATTTTTGTCAAGTTTACTAAAACTTAAAAACATGTGATCTCTTCATCTTCTGATTGTTCCTTTGTGAGACCAACATGACAGACCTGTTCTGCAAACCCCATTAGTACTACTGTTCTCTCAATCAGTTCACATCTAATCTTCAACATGGCATCAGATTAACTACTCTGGACATTGTTCAACTCAGCTTTGTCATAAGAACTTTCACGACTACTTTCAAGCACTGGTTCCAAAGTTTTCACTCATTTTGAAAAGAAGAAATTGACAAGTAATGTTATGAAGATGAGTATTATAAACATGTTTCTTAAAAATAAAAGGTGTTTTTAAAAGTTCATGAATCTTTAAAACCAAGAACTTATTTTCCAAATATCTCAACTTGATAATGCCCTTAGTTTTCCAAGAAACACTTAATCTAATGAATGCAGCATTATTATAATATAGCACAGTTAAAGAACACACAATAAAACATAGAACATGCAATAACATAGAACCCTCCTAAACTTTAGTACCTTTGTCCTTTTCCGAAGAAGTTTTGCAAGTCGAACAACATACGGCTTAAATTCTCTCTGATGTATGCCCTGTCTTCTGACCTCCAAGCCTGAGTCATCTGAAGCTTCAGGTATAAAGGCCCATCGGTACCTACCAGTGCAAAGACACTGATATTAGTAAGAAAAACACTGTGCCATTGAAGATAAGCCACATAATTTAGTACAAAGAACAATAACCAACACATGCAAACTAAATCAAAAAGCACTGTCATTCACCTGGAGTTTGTGTTACCAGTAAAAGTAGAATTTACCATATCAAGCTGGGCAGTGGTGGCTCATCCTTTTAATTCTAGCACTTGGGAGGCAAAGGCAGGTGAATCTCTGTGTTAGAGGCCAGCCTGGTTTACGGAATGAGTTCCTGGACAGCCAGGGTTATACAGAGAAACTCTTGTCTTGAAAAACCAAAAGGAAAAAAAATACCACCATTTCGGAGCAGTAAGGTAGTAGGACAACTTGCAAAGTGCTCAGAACTGTTTTATCCATGAGAAAAATGAGTATTAAAAACATTTTCTCTTGACCTACTAGACCAAGTATTTTTCAGATTGTGTTGCTGCAGTAACTGCCTCAAGTTTGCAACCCTCCCACCTCAGCCTCCTCCTAGTAGGCAGAAAGCTCAAAAGGAAACTGCTTTTGTACAGTTGATTGTATTTTAACATGTGAAAGTACATCAAGAGGAAGACTTTCCCATCATGGGAACCATCAGTGTTGCTAGACTCTTGACTGTGTCCTTCTGTAGAGTCCATGCATAGAAAAGCACAT